ATTTTAATGGTTTCTTTTAAGTGAAACTTATTATCCTGAAAGTTTGTAAGCAAAAAATGCTAAGCCACAAGATTATCAATTCCGAATTATAGCCATGTTTTTATTCGACCCTGGGGCATTCTGAATGACCCCTGAAGGGGCTGAACGAACGGAATAATCCTTTGTCACTGCTACAAATGCCGTAGCAACTGCCGTTAATGACAGATCCTGCGCTACAAAATAAATAATAATGATGGCCAAATAAAGCCAGCGAACTATCTTTATTCATCTATCCTTATTTTCAGTGATCTGGCGAACAAATTATTCACAGATCTGGGTAATAACAAAATCAAAGAGGAACCGAACCAAGAAGTAATTTCCTGAAGGTATCGAATGGAACTCAGTCTCTGTTATAATGGGAAAGCACTAGCATATCGCTTTTGGCGGCCTCACTGCATTGGACCACTTGAAGTGATATAACACTGGTGTTCTCCAGATGGCTCGTTTTCTGCTAAACCATTCAGCTTAACTACTCTGAACTCCGTCTCCAGGTGCCAAAAATAGAGAAAATAACGAGCAAAAAGCAGTGATAAAATTTGAAAAGCTGTACTGTAAGATGCCGGCAGTTGGTGTGAACACCCACACTCTCCCTGCGATGGCTACCGATGGACTCAACCAACCAAGATTATACTAAAAAGAAAGTAACGCGGCACCTCGAAGAGGTATAAAGTGTTTACTTTGAACTGCAACACTGTCGTTATCCTTCTGTTTCAGTGATTATGTGGAAAAGAAAACTGAAGACTTACAAGAACAACCGAAACGTAATTAAAAGAGAAAAATTTTACGAGAATGCTGGTATATCTTCAGCGGTACTGAAAATGTGACATTAATTTTCACAAAGGCTTATTTCAGGCGTATAGATGCGGTAAATTTTAGGTAACAAAATTATCAGCATCCCCTTCTCACGGCAACTACGTGTTAGAAAGCCGAAATTTTTTGTATTTCAACCTACCGTCTATAACAGCGTGGCAGCCATAACGAGGTTGTTTCGTGGAAGAAATTTTAAATATTCGCAAAAACTACTTTGCGTTAATGGAAAGCCATAATCTTTTGTAGAGGAGAGAATGCAAATAGCTAAGTAAAGGAGTTCAGCCAAAGCAAAAATTATATCTAGGGAAGCGTTAAATTTGGTAGAGATGTATCGAATTGCATTAAAAAATGCAAATGCTTTTTCGATTTTTAGTAGTCCATAATGTCGACGCTGAAAAGCGTAATCAAAAAGAGATAAAGTGTGCGTTATTGATGCGCAGGCAGTATCTCATAAAATCCTGAAGAAAAACTGACAAAAAAAAGATCTTTTACATAAAAGCATCTGCCTGAAGCAGAAGAAGCTGGGAATGTCGGAACACCGCGGTACTGAGAATCAAGCAAAATGTGAGAAATATGTCCGGAAGGAAGCCATATTTGGGAAGAGAAAGGATGCACTGATGAAAGAAAACAGTGACGGCGATCCGGCACAAAAAAGGTCAGCAAAACCAAATATGTTTCAGCTCTTCTTGTTTGCTCCTTTCATGGACGTATGTGAGAAGTAGGTGACAATAAGGTATGATGGAGCGAAACTGTGGAGAGGAGAGAGGTTCAAAGGAAGCAGTTGGAAAATGCACAATAATCACATGCGTAGTGGATAATTAGTAGTTAGGAAGAGGTATGCGGATCCCACTGCAGACGCTAATAAAGATTATGCCTTCTGGGCATCCAACCACTTATACTTTGCTTCTAGAGGCATTAATCCATCGAATGCATCCATAGCTATTCCAGCAAAGGGGATAATGAATAGCAGTCGCGCACCAGGTAGCCAGTAAGAACATGCACTCTACTCAGCGGAACTAGAAAGATGTCAACAAATTTCTGCCTAGACTCAAATGCTCATGCATGAGAAGTAGGCGAACGTGGACGAATCTAAAATTTCAAGGTCACGCACTGACAGGAAAAATCTCTTTATTATTTCGGCTCTCTGTCTCGTCTGGTCCCCAAATAAAAATTTTCCAGCTGAAACCTTCAGCTGCTTTTACGCATGATGTAGCGTATGAGGAAAACTGAATTTGAAACTTCAGAGTCGTACATGAACAAGAAGTATCCATGTGAGATTTCAGCTTTCTACCTTGTTTTGTTCAAGAGACTGAAAATTTTCTTATCAAAAATTTTCACATGAAAAAAACACAGACAGATGTAAAAGCTAAATTTGGAGGTCACACATGGACAGAGAGCATCGCTCTAAAATTTTAGCGTCATAGCTTTTCAGCTGCTAAATCGGAAATGTCGAACGAAAATTCAAGCATGTACGCATACACTCATATACGTGCAAGAATACAATATTCTCAGCACCTCTCGTGCGGTGCAAAATGCACAACGAATTAAAAAACAATTTCTTCCGTATTTTTTAGTGACAAAATTTATAACACTTTGATTTTAACCCATGAGAAACACAAAATTTGAATCCTAACTTCAAAACTATTCCAAGACATTTGTTATGCAAACCGCAAAAACACACACTGCGACGATCCTGTTTGTGTGTGCGTATTCGTCTGTCCGGATATTTCAGCTCGGCAACCAACTAAGCTCTGGCGCCAAAATTTCGCTAGTGAGTTCCCCGGCCAAGTGCTACATCAGGACCGCAGTATCAGCCCTTACGCAAGTTTTGGCGGGAAAATTGCTAACTCGGAAACGAGAAAAGCTAGAAAGCCGAGACTTTGAGGTCATGTTCCCCGACCAAATAGAACTCAAAGATTTCAAATTCAGCCTCCGGGTGTGCATAGTTCCCGTGTACGGCCCTGTGAGGGTTCCTGGCGAGAAAATGGTTAGCTCGGGAACCAGGAAAGCTGGGAGGTTGAGATCTTGAATAGATGTTCGCAGCTCATATGCAACTTAAAGATTTCAAACCCAGCCTCCAGGTAAGCTTTCAGGTCACGTGTGGCCTTGTGAACGTTTTGGCGAAAAAACTGCTAACTCATGAACCAGAAGAGCTGGAAAGCTGAGATTTTAGGATAATGTTCTCAATCCAAATGCAACTTAAAGTTTTCAAATTTAGCCTCCACTTACGCGTGGTCCTCGTGTACGGGCACTTAAATTTTTGACGGGAAACTTACTCACTGAACGGCTGAGTCATTTTCAAACCCAGGCTGGAACGTACTAGACTCTCCAGTGCGATCATGCGTTTTTGCACTAAACTCGCAGATGCTATTAGCAAGAATGATCCCTACGCTATAGCCTAACACTTGGACTCGCACTGGCCGTGCTTTGGCCCCTTCCGGCATGCAGAAGGAAGGGCGCCAGTTGGGATGGTGGTGCAGAAGGAAGGGCGCCAGAGCCACACGGACATCCAGGTGCATGATTACCGATTTTTTGCATGAAGTCCGGTTATTTTTTCGGCAAATTCTCGCTTTGTGAAAAAATAAAAAATGCAAATTTTTCGAAAAAAAGCAAATTTCCAAATCACTAAAAAGTGAAGGTATTGCTCAAGCGATCGTTTGTCAAAAAATCCACGTTCATTTGCATATATGATTGCGGTTCAGGTCCGAGCTGCTAACGATTTTTGTGCTGAGGAGCTGCTTGAAGCTGTGGTTGGAAAGCTAGAGAGCTGAGTTTAAAACTTTTGTC